CCTACATTAGACATATGGTTGGCTTCTATATCTTGTACTTGCTAAATAAAGGTTAAAGTATAACTGAATTAGTTTTATTTTGAGTGGGGAATGGCTAAACCCTTGTCAGTTGTATGTATGTGACATTTGAGAGAGACACAACATGAAACAAATCCCTTCTTACAGTTGCTACCAAAAAAGTTGGAAGATTTTGGAGACTGAGATTTTTACAGTAGTCCTGTTCTTATGACAACTTAAAATTTTGGACAGTCTCTCACTATCTGTGTCACTGGCATTGGTCACCAGAACAAACCAAGAGTGAAATTCTGTAAGGGGGGCATAGATAGCAATAAAACCTTGCAGGGGTACTAGCCACTCTATCAAAAGCTATAATGTAAAAGTGTGGCTTTATATATACTTCAATACAAAATAAAGACAAATTTGTGTACATAGTGTTAAAACTTTCACCTTTATAGTAAAGAATATACAGTGCCTTGAAAAAGTGTTCATACCCCCCGAAATTTTCCACATTTTGTCATGTTACAACCAAAAACTTAAATGCATTTTATTGGGATTTTATGTGATAGACCAACACAAAATGGCACATAATTGTGAAGTGGAAGGAAAATTATAAAATGGTTTTCAAATTTTTTTACAAATAAATATTTGAAAAGTGTGGTGTGCATTTGTATTCAGCCCCCCTGAGTCAATACTTTGTAGAACCACCTTTCACTGAAATTACAGTTGCAAGTCTTTTTGGGTATGTCGCTTCCATCTTTGCACATTTTTTTCCATTTTTCTTTGCAAAATAACTCAAGTTCTGTCAGATTGGATGGAGAGCGTCTGTGCACAGCAATTTTCAAGTCTTGCAACAGATTCTCAATTGGATTTAGGTCTGGACTTTGACTGGGCCATTCTAACACAAGAATATGCTTTGATCTAAACCATTCTATTGTAGCTCTGGCTGTATGTTTAGGGTCATTGTCCTGCTGGAAGATGAACCTCCTCCCCAGTCTCAAGTCTTTTGAAGACTCTAACAGGTTTTCTTCTAAGATTGCATTGTATTTGGCTCCATCCATCTTCCCATCAACTCTGACCAGCTACCCTGTCACTGCTGAAAAAAAGCATCCTCACAACATGATGCTGCCACCACCATGTTTCACAGTGGGGATGGTGTGTTCAGGGTGATGTGCAGTGTTAGTTTTCCGCTACACATAGTGTTTTACTTTTAGGCCAAAAAGTTACATTTTGGTCTCATCTGACCAGAGCACCTTCTTCCACATGTTGGCTGTGTCCCCCACATGGCTTCTCACAAACTGCAAAGGACTTTTTGTGGGTTTCTTTCAACAATGGCTTGCCACTCTTCCATAAAGGCCAGATTTGTGGAGTGCACAACTAATAGTTATCCTAAGGACAGATTCTCTCACCTGAACTGTGGATCCCTGCAGCTCCTGTAGAGTTACCATGGGCCTCCTGGCTGCTTCTCTGGATAATGCTCTCTTTGCCCAGCCTGTTGGTTTAGGTTGACAGCTATGTCTTGGTAGGTTTCTAGTTGTGCCATACTCTTTCCATTTTTGGATGATGGATTGAACAGTGCTCCATGAGATGTTCAAAGCTTGGGATTTTTTTTTTAATCTAACCCTGCTTTAAATTTATCCACAACTTTATCACTGACCTGTTTGGTGTGTTCCTTGGCCTTCATGATGTTGTTTGTTCACTAATGTTCTCTAACAAACCTCTGAGGGCTTCACAGAACAGCTGTATTTATACTAAGATTAAATTACACACAGGTGGACTCTATTTATAAATAAGGTGACTTCTGAAGGCAATTGATTCCACTAGATTTTAGTTAGGGGTATCAGAGTAAAGGGGGCTGAATACAAATGCACGCTACACTTTTCACATATTTATTTGTAAAAAAATTTGTAAAAAACATTTCTTATTTTCCTTCCACTTCACAATTATGTGAAACTTTCTGTTGGTCTATCACATAAAATCTGAATACAATACACTTACGATTTTGGTTGCAACATGACAAAACATGGAAAATTTCAAGGGGTATAAATACTTTTTCAAGGCACTGTATATTATATAAAAAACGGGTCCCTAGTAGAACTGGGCAATTTGCATTCCATCATAGTTAACATTAAAGACTTGAAACATATTCATTTCATAAATAATCATGTTTGAAGTGAGTCCCGATTTTCTCAACCATTTACAGTTGCATAATATATTTCCTCATTTTGATATATAATTCACATTTTATAATTTGTTGTATATTTGCTTAGGACATCAGAGCTGGTTTCTCAGTAATTGGAAATTGTAATTCCGTAAACATGTTGTTTCCAGTAGGAAGGCTCTTTGATTGGTGTTTATATGTTTTAGAGATACAGGACAGATTAACTGCCTACTGTTAGACTGATTTTATCAATACTTGCCTTTGCTTAACACACGTTTTTTACTCTAGTCTTCTATAAACAGTAATAAAAAAAGAGCATGGATTATTTATAAACCAGTAAAACTCATACTTTTTTTTAATTGGAGCTCGAAGATCCATGAATGCTAATTATGGTTAGAAGAAACTGGCTTAGATAAGGCAGATGGAGAATTGCTCCTGCACAGAGTGTGAATGTAACTAAAGTATTATATGAGATAATATTATCACTCTAGTGACAAATATAAATTGTGCTAAATTAGCCAGCAGTAAAATCAAAGACATGTACATTACACTGCTAGATCAAATCACAAAGTGGCAAACGAGAACAGCTCCAAGTGGTATATCACAGATGTCAAGCCACAGAATAATTACTTAACAGTAAATTGTAGTTAAAATATTTGAGGTGTTTACGTCAAGCTGGCCGAAACAAATGAATTCCATTACATAACTATGTAGCTGCTGTGGGTGCTGTAAAATACTGTAGTAGAATTAGCTGCATACAGTAAGCAGCGCTGTGCTCCAGCCGCAGTACAAGCGACTTCTCATCTGCTGCCAGCATTAAAGAGTCAGGCTGAATGCTCTGATATTCAGGAGAAGCCTTGCATTTTTATGATTTAATACAAGGCTTCCTTTGATTGGACAAGATGAATATCATGATGTCATCCTCTCACCTTTTCACTTCAACCAATCAGAGGAAGTCTTGTTTTATACAAGGCTTCCTCTTGAATGGCGGAGAAGCATCCAACCCAACTCTATTTAATTTTGGAAGTGGATGGGAAATCACTCGTACTGCTGTTGGTCACAGCTGCCATATGCAGCTAATGTTACTACAGAATAATACAGTGCACAGAGCGATGTCAAAGTTATGTGATAGAAATAGTTACTGTGGGTCAAGTTGGCCGACACAAACTATTTAAGTCAAATTAAACATTAATTCTACTTTACATTCTTAGGAAATAATGTAAGCAAAAGATATCTGGATGAAATCCAATTTTGCATTTTTTTTTTTTGTTTTTTTGTTTATGTGTTGTATAATTCTATGAGAACAAGTTATATGATCTGGACACCTAACCATTTAAATTTCCATTTTCCTGAAGAATTAAAGCATACGGTATCTAAAGACTGGAAAAAAATAATATATTGTAGCTTACCAGTCTGTAGATGAAGTTGCTGGGTTAGGTTTTGTAGCATTTTTTTTTTCATTATTTTCAAAATCTTCCTAGGGTCACAACCATTAACTGTACTAATCTATAGAGAAAAAACATTGTTACTCTAGGACAGGACTACAGAACCCCCTCTCCCCCCATATCATAGCCTGAGGAGTTGTATAGTCCATAGAGAGAGCTGGGAACAGTACTGACTGGTAGTAGAGCACAGACAGAAAGCGCATTATAAGCTCACAAGATTTTTGGCAGAATCAATGTGTATTTTTTTGCAAAAACATATTTAACAAAATGTGTTCAAATGTACTGTATATGAAAATGTATATTTGTAACACTACTTTCAGGAGGGAGAACAGTGCTAGTGTAGGCTATAGAAATCACAGAAGTACAAAAGATAGGATTTTAGAATGGCAGTTAAAGAGGAACTGAACTCTGGAAGGTTTTTTTTTCCAAAAAAAAGTCACACAGGGGTCAGGTGACTTGTTACAAGCATTGCCAGTGGTCTCCCTCCTACTGACTTTTCTCTGTTGCTAGTTTGCCATGATTTGTTCTGCATTGTATGTCTGGGTGGAGGTGGCTCTGGGTGGAGGTGGCTCTGTGTGGAGGTTCCTCATGTCAAAGCCTCCAGTAAGGAGAGCAGTAAGCAGCATAGTAGTGATCAGGGGCGGATTGACCATTTGGGAACTCGGGCACTGTCCGAGTGCCAGGGGTCAGAAGGGGACCCAATGAGATGCCCCTGGTACATTTCACAGGCTTTTTTGGGTGTGGTTTGTGGGCAAGGACACAGGGGGATCCCCTATTGCCCGGGGGCCCCATAAGTTGCCAGTCCACCCCTGGTAGTGATATCATGAAACCTTACTCCAAGCCTCCTAAGACTAGCCTTCAGAGGCAGTAGTGCCTTAGATCTCACACTGTAGATATACACTTATGAGGCTGTAGGCATAGGAGTGCTTAGGTACCCTCAGATACTAAGTACACTGCTATTTTCCAGTAAAAATTCCAGACAAAAGCTAAATTTTTTAGAGTACTGCACAATTAATATTTTCAGATGGTCCTTATATGAAATCTTCATTTTATGAGTTCAATTCCATTTCAAGGGAACAAATATCAATAAACCACATAGGTCCAAATGTGTACAGCATTATATAATAAAACCTAGGCACTGATACATATTTACTCCTGAATGTGCATGTCCCTAGATAATTAAAACATAGGCATTGGGGAATATTTACACCTAAAAATGCATGAAACTGGATGATTAACACCTGGAGACTGATATTCCTATACACCAGGCCTAATTTCATCTTCTTGTTGTGTGTTGAGTGTAGCAACCAATTATTTGAATGAATAAACATTTCTCAGTAACATCTTTAATTCACTTTCTAAAAAACTGTAATATTTACAGTAACTTTACTTTTCAGCCACTAGATTTTGAAAGCAAGAACAGCTACACGCTAAAGATTGAGGGTTCCAACCCACACATCGAAGTGCGCTTTTTTAACTTAGGACCATTTCGTGATACCACCACTGTACACATTACTGTAGAAGATGTCGATGAACCACCAGTGTTTGAGTCAAGTCATTATTTCGTTGACGTCTCAGAAAATGTTGATATTGGAACAACAATACAAATTGTTGCTGCAAAGGACCCAGATGCAAAAAACAACTCAGTCAGGTGGGTAATGAAGTGCAAATTTGATGTTTGGCATTCTTTTGGGATCGCTGCATTGTATGTATTAATAGAAAAGTATTGATTGGCTTGGAACATTGATTATTTTTACACACTTGTATGATATCGCTATGTACTTCTAATAGTATATTGATTATGTAGAAGAATAGACTCCTAATTGTTTTTATTATTTCTGTTCCCTTTGAAAATTGTATACTCAGCTGTGTGGGGAGTGTGCATTATTATACAGGTTTCATGCCTTAAAAAACAGGTAATATTAACTAACTAAAGAATGTTAGAATAATAATTCAATATAACAAGTAATTTAATAGCTTTGTATGCAGGTATATATATATATATATATATATATATATATATATAGAAAAGCCCCCCTTTTCTGTCTTGGTGTCTTGGTGACTGGTGAAACTTAGGACTAGAAGTGAGAGGAAAGCTCCCCAAAAGACAAACCGAAAACAAAAAATGAATCAAGGTTCTTATCCTTCCTCACAAATAAATCCCACCAGATAGTGGGAAGAAAAGTCTCCAATAGACATACAGACATCAATAAAATCTAACTAGGGTTCTTATTCTGTCAAAACCAAAGAAAACGTTTTAGCTATCTTGTGCTTTATTGATTACTTATAAAAATGAACACTTGCAATAGTAAAAGCGTTACTAAACTCAAAAGCAAACATTTGTTATATTGCAGCTTAACAATTCTTAGATGCAATGGCTGCATGTTTTTTTGTTTTTGTTTTTTTTTAGGCTTGCCTTCTATTTTCATTTGGTGATCCAGCCAGTAAGTCTGTTGTTTTTCAATAGAAAAGCTCTCTTGCATTTACAGGGATGAGACAGACCATGTAACGCTAGCAGTGGGTTTACAATGATCAGTTTTTATTTATTAATGTAAAACCTTTATCCCAAAAAGAGAAAATAGTTTGCTGTAAATGACTATAAAGTATTAGCTGGAATTCTGCTTAAAAGTTAGTGTATTTAAATCTGCTAATACATCTAACCAGACTGACAAGGCTGTAGGCCAAATCTGCCCCCTGTGCTCCTTCATCCAGAAAGGTGTCTGTATAATGCAGGAGGCTGGCCAGATCTCCAGGGGAAAGCAGAAAGGAAAAAAGCCTAAAAAAAGAAACGACTACCTCTAGTGATGTGTAAGCTGCAATATATTATATTTTTGGTTTGGGGTTCAATACCGCTTTAAGAATTCCATAAAATCTATTTTTAGATTTATTAGGGTGGAAAGTGGAAATTGTAAGTTACATTTACCCTCATAGTATCCACCAAAAGATAAGCTGTTCTAAATGCTACAGTATCACAGTACTGGACTCCTGCTGCCTTGAATGCTTAGAGTTCATAGACTCTGCAATTCAGCATGCTTAGGAAAGGAAAGAAATATCCATTGATTTCTAAAGAGCCAATGGATATTTCCATTGGAGCCAATGCAAAGCAGAGGACAGTGAAAAAAAAGTGTTAGGTAGTGCAAGAGGGGGATCTAAAAGGCAATAGGGGATCAGGGGGCCCCTGTGTCCTTGCCCAAACTCAAAAAAGCCTATGAAAAAGGTACCAGGGGCGTCTTATGGGGCCCCCTACTGACCCCAGGCCCTTGGGCAGTGCCCGAGTTTCCAAATGGTCAGTCCGCCCCTGTTGACAATCAAAACTGAGAGATTGGCACAGTTTTTCACATGTGGTGGTAATGTCTGAAAATTCAGGCTTTCTGGAAGTCAATAGTTAAACTGATTGAGATAATAACTGGGATTGACATAGGGTTAGACCCAACGATATGCCTCTTACATAATGTCGATTTATCAGTAAATAAATATAAAGAAAAAGGTTTATGGTACTATCTAAATGCTGCAAAAGGTTTGATACCCACGTTTTGGCAGAAAACAGAGGTGCCGAAGGAGGAAGACTGGGTTAATAGAGTGAACCAGAGTGGTAGAATGGAAAAACTTTACCATATGCAGGAAGACAAGATGGGGATGTACTATACGAGATGGGAAAAATCTGGATTGAAAAAGAGAAATATAGGAAGGTATAATTTAGGACGATAGAAAATGTCTTCTTGCTTTAGTAGGAAAGAGCAGTTTAGTATGCAGAGGGGTAGGAGGGGGATGGGATTAGGGTCGTGGGGAGATGGAGGCGGGGTGGGGAGAGGAAATAGTTTTAGAGGGGGAAATGTAGAAATGTTTTGGAGATGTTTTGGAGATTTAGGTGTGTTTTTTGATGGAAATTTGTAATATGAAAAATCAATAAATATGACTGACCCCGGGCCCTCAGGCAGTGCCCAAGTTTCCAAATGGTCAGTAGCCCCTGGGCTGGTGTTTCTTTTGACGGGTGTTGAGGTGGTGATGTGATGCTCTGAATCAGCATATCATGCTGGTTACATATTTTCTACTTTATTGGGAGTGCACAAAGTTATACTACACTCAAGTGTCTACTGCTCTGCGGTGACCTATGCCACCATCCAAATTCTCTGTAGAAAAATACAGCACATCTGAATTTTTCCGCATCACACAAGACCCCAGCATTGTATTGTGAACAATGCAGTAATACGAATAACAACAACAACTTCAGTAATAAGAGGGCATCTCCTGTTTTACTAACTTTTGACAAACTAAAAACGTCTTATGTTTTTTTTTTTACTTGAGTTTGAAGTTTTTTATCCACATTTTATTTCCACATATTAACAAATTATTCAGTAATGTTAACAGATAGAAAACATATTTATAAAGCAGGGTGAATATAAAGCTGCCTTGTTCTTCCATCCTACATTCTAAACAGGCAGATCCAATTCCTTCCTTTTAGCACCACTTGAAAGAGCAGATTTTTGTGACCAACAAAGTGAAAACAATGGAGCTGCCTCCTTTTTGCCGCAAACCCTTCAATCGTTTTCTATGTGCGCTTGCAGTGACAGGTGTTGATTGGGTGCAAAAGAATTCCAGCTACTGCGTCTAGTGTGAACAAACCCTTAAAATGGATGTAATGCCAAACTGGATGACATTATATCTGCACTGTGTTTGCAAAGGCCATGGTCCCTTTTTTTTTAATAAAATACTGTTTCCACCGTTTTTTAACTTTAGAGTAATGTCTGAAAAAATGACAATATACACGGATAAACCTATTGTTTAGTGGGTTTATATCTAAATGATGCTAAGATTTACAGTAGAAGCTTGAGGAGTCCATCTGAGCCTAGAATGTAGTACTGGATCACCTCCATCCTACTCGGCTTTCAAAAGCAGGGCTGGTGAGAGGCACGAATATCAGAGTTAGATGAGCAAATGTAGCTTTAGAAGGTGTTTGTTTTCTTTTTGTTTAAGCTAAAATATTATGAACAGGTGGGAGAAATGTAATGTAAATCTAATTTACTTTTGTGGACATAATTTGGCAGTTGAAAGTTCCCATAGACATGAAATAGTGCTGACAAGACTGGCACAAACATGCGTTCTCAAGTTAACTTAACATGCATATCCACATTCTGTCTGCCCTATAACAGCTTTACTGCTACAGGAAAGCCACTCTGTTCAGAATCAGGTACATATACTTGATTCTGCATTTCAGGATAGGGGGTGCGCGCACAAGTGCGCCCGCCTACTCGCACTATCATTGGTTCCTGTACATGTCAATCACTGGGTCATAGCCTGCAATTCATGGCTGGGACCTGGTGATTGGTGAAGCAACTGGCAGGAGAGAGATCTGTGAATGTAAACAACACATGTCAGCGGGGATGTGCCAGTTTTCTCTCCCTTCAAAGCTGGGAGATAAAAACCAGCACATCCCCTAGTAAAACACCACACAGTAAACAATAAAAACACTCCCTGGCACACAGTTAACCCTTTGATTGCCCCAGATGTTAACCCCTTCCTGCCTAGTGTCAAGTGTCATTAGTATAGTGACAGTGCTTTTTATTAGCACTGATCACTGTATTTGTGTCACTGGAGATGTCAGTGGCAGTCAGTTCCCCCTCAGTGTCAGCTAGTTTCAGAATGCCCGCTGTACTATCACAGTCCCATTTTAAGTCACTGAACGCTGCCATTACTACTTTAAAAAAAAAAAAAAAATCCATATACATTATTTCATTCAGTCCCAATTTCATGAGAGTAAAGTGCTCATGTGTGAAATGCTTAGTGGTGAACTTCATACAGAAATGACAGATGATCCTCTGTGGCTCAAACGGTGCCCCACATGGATGTGCATTCACCATCATCTGTGGACCACCTATCTCTAGGATGGTCTTATGCGCTTTGTTTGGGACTAGCCCAATATGTGGCGATATGGATGGCACCAATATCCTTCCTGGGCACAATGCAATATGGCTGATGGTAACCGGCAAGATTATGACCAGCGTTGCTATTAGTAACGATGTCGTTTCATAAGAGCTGTTTCAAAATTCCTCTTGACAAAGAAGAAGGTTGGTGAACTCTGTAGAGATAGGTGGTCCACAGATGACGGTGAGTGCACATCCATGTGGGGCACCGTTTGAGCACAGTGGAGCACCTTCGTCATTTCTGTACGAAGTTCACCACTAAGCATTTCACACCTGGGCACTTTACTCTCATGTAATTGGGACTGAATGTTATTATTATTTATTTATTACATGTGTAACAATATTATTATTTATCGCTTATTGTATTGTATTTTAGTTTATGTGCGGTCCAAATAGTATTTTGTTTGTGTTTGTGCATATTAGTTAACAAATTAGGATTGCTGCTTTTTTATATTAGGGTCAATTTGCATTAAGATTTCACCTGTAAGCTCAACAACACTTGATTTACATTTATATTGTTTGTAAACGCTATCATTTTCACGCAAACAAATTAATATACACTTGCTAGTATTTTTTTTTACCAAAGACATGTAGCAGAATACATTTTGCCCTGATCAAACACCACCAAAAGAAAACTCTTTGTGTAAAAAAAAGATACAAATTTCAGTTGTGTACAGTGTTGCATGATTGCGCAATTGTCAGTTAAAGCAGCACAGCACTGTATAGTATAAAATGCCCTGGTCATGAAAGGGGGTAAATCTTTCAGAGGGCAAGTAGGCAGACATCTCTGGAATAAGTGTTAATACAACAGTAGTGTACTAATCCATTTTCAGATTCAAACTTGGTGATCAGTCTTTTCCCCAAGATCAGTCAGTCATATAGCAATCTACTACATCACCTATACACAGTACGCAGGAGTAGCTTCAAATAACAAAAAAATATAAAGCTTCTAAAAAATCAATAGTGAATTACAGGTATGAAACAACCTGTGTCCCCTGGACAGTGAACTTTGCATTCCTACACTGGTAAATTTAATATTTCACTTGAATATAATGATGAATCTTCTGTGGCTTGCAGAAGAAAAATAATCTAAATTCAAGGTCTGGTTAAGAGAGAAAAATGTAGAATTTATAAGAAAGGTATTACTTCTGCATATTGGCATTAGATATTAATAGAGCGTCATACTCATAATCTCAATACTAGGTCGACCTTCAAATATAATGAAATTAGAATGTGCTGAAAAAAATTATTTACAAGTGTAAGTCCCTGTACAATTTATCTTAGACCTGCAACAGTACATGGTTCATTTAGTGTTCAAGAATTGGATGAATTCAATAACTGCAGTCTTGTCATTTCAAAGAAAGCAAAGCAGAAGTATCATATAAGTCTGTTGGTAAGATTGGAAAATAACTGGTTGCCATAATTAAAAAAAAATGATTTTAAGTTTCTCAGATGTAAACAATACATTTTGTAAAGTTGAACTCCAGTCAAACAGATAAATAAATGAAATACATACGAGGGAGTTTTTTACCTGCCAAAGGATTTGTATTCCTGTCCATCCATTTCTAAGACTTACACAGCACTGCCACACAGCACAGCCTTGTCTAGAGGGGCAAGAGAACTGAATTTTTCTTATGTAGTTGAGTAACACTTACAGGTCTTGTCCCTCTACCAGTCAGCGATAGTAAATTTAGAAATATCAGATGGGTGTGCTCGACTCTCTTCACTCTGCTCTTTTCTCCTATGAGCATGTACCTTGGAGCTTAGGAGCACTACAGCACAAATGATCAGCTTGTAGGCAGGTTAGGCAGTTGGCTGGCCTGGGCTGAGGAAGGGGTTAATATTCTGCACCTCTGTTCCGAGCTTTTTGGACCCAGCCTATCCACCTGCCCTGTGATATAAATAAGGAGGTTGGCCGAGTTCAGGAACTTCAGCTTCGGCCCACTCAGAAAGATGCCATGATCACTGTGGAGCTCCCAGGGAGGACTGCTGTGCCCTGCAGTCCATTGAATGGCATTGGAAACCCGGAGAACCATCAAGTCTTGGAAAACACCAGTTATGGACTATCACCATGCTGAGGTATGCCTGGGCAGCTTAATCAAGATAGTTAGGGATTGTTTCATTGAACGGTTCATGTTGGACTATGTTGCAGAATACTCAGTAAAGTTGCATCAACTGTTCGAAGCGTTATCTGAAGTTACGTTAAAGTGGTGCATGATAGTCCCTGGAGTCCCCTAGGGTCAGTAAAGCACATGTGAGGTATGGAGCAGAGCCGCAATAAAAGGTTTACTCAGCAAGAGGAGCAGGAGGAGATATGCAGTTGCTATGGGTAACCCAGAACAACGCTGGATGGGGGGTCATTGATCTGGATTCCCCTCCCCAGCAGTCAGTTTCCCATAGCAATCAGGACCAAACCTGCATTATGGAGACCCAGAGCCTGGCCACATGGGGTACAGAAGTGGATGTGTTAATAAGTGCATGCAAGGCAGGACTTCATTTTGTCACTGGGAATGAAGTGACAGAGGTACGCTAGATGGGTGGAGAGGGCATAGGCTCAGTGGTGTCCCTCGTAAATGCAAAATACTGTCACAAGTTAGCCTGCAGTTTCTTGTTTGTGTTCTTACCTCTTTGCTGCAGTCCTGTTCCTGATCCCATCTCATGTGTTTGTCTGTGCTGGGGACTAATCTATGTCATCTGCTGTCCTCTGGGTTTTATTTCCTTCCCTTCCCTTACTTCCTGGCCTGTCTCCTTGTTTGCCTGTCTATATAAGATGTGCTCAGACTAGGCCACTTTGCCTGAGCACTTCCTAGTTGTCGGAGCTCCTGTGTATTGCTACTGCCTGTATCCTACATTGACTACTTGTGTACCGACCCCAGCTTCGTTCTCTGACTGTGCTTGTTTTTCCGCCTGTCCTGACCTTGGCTAGCCTATCAGATTCTGTTTGTCTCCTCCAATTATACTCTGCTCCCCGCGAGTGGTCTCCTCATCCTCAGCTGGGCGTACCTGGGGGCTGCGACCTGGTCCCAGCTTGCTGCAAGTCCATCCCCACCGTCAGGGGCTCCGTTGAAGAAGCAGGCTGGGGCTTAGACTCCACGCCCTGGGGAACCCCAAGTTGAGTATCAACAAGGGCTCACACCACAGGTAGCACAGGTACCATACAACAAGCAAGGTGTGTAGTGACAAGGGAAAGGAGGTTCTACAGAGGAACTATATACCTCATGCTACTACACACAGAGTATAGCTCATCTCTAAGCTGAGGAACCCATCATAATGTTTGACACATGATTGGTGAGTGCATGCATGGTGAAAGGTACCCCCATGTGCAGGCTAGTGGCCCCACCCACAGGCTCCTTGTGCTGCTCCCTCTCCCAGATTTTGATACCAAGTCAAATTAAGGTACTTGCACTGTTTACAATTAAAATCTTTCATATATGTCTGGCTTTAAAAATCACTATATTGCTGTGAAGTTTTATGTGATGTTATTGTCATATATTTCCACAGAAAAACAAAATATTGGCGGTTCTAGGCTAAAATTTAAAAATGTGGACTATATGTAACCGATTTTAATACTTTTTCCAGGTATTCAATTGACAGAAACAGTGATCCTGGAAGATATTTCTATGTTGACATTACTACAGGAGCATTGATGACAGCAAGACCTTTGGATAGGGAAGAACTGGCATGGCATAATATCACAATTTTAGCGATGGAGATGAGTAAGTATAAAATGAAAAATGCTTTTTACTCTACCCAAGCCTATCAAACTAAAAAATAATTTTGACTGAAGTTGGGTTTTAGTTTTACATTTTATGGTACATTAGATTTCAGATTCTCAAAACTGGTCTGGTTGTTTTAGCTCTGAATGGTTGGCACCAGAAATCTCTGCACACGAATTTCTGGCTAAAGTTGCTTTATTGCATGTGTTATACAATGGTCATACCCACAAAAGTGCGACCCATGTATTGAACTTTAACCCTAAAGTTAGTTCATTTTTAAAAATTGTTTCTTTATGATAGAAACTACTTTGTAAGTCATAAAAGCTCTTTCCTTGCCTGGTAAAAAAAAAATCCTAGTTGCACACTGAACAGCTATGTATTCATAGCGCAGTGTACAGTCTTGGCATTTTACAGATGCTGGGAGGAAGTAGCTCTCATGCATATGTATTGGCATTACATCATCTGTGGATGACCAATAGGAAGAAAGTAGACATTGGACTCTAAAGAAGTCCATCAGATGGCAGCTGCAACAATGAAGCGACAAGGAGGAGCAGAGATGCCATATCATTAGAGGAGGACATTTTGGGAGGCAAGACTCACATAATGTGAAAAGATGCTGTGCATATTTTCACATTAAACCATTATCCATAAAACATGTGGTGCCTCTTTCATATATGGGTGTACATGTGACTGCCCGTGTGACTCATTTATTATTCAATTATTAGGCATGACATGTTACATGAAAATGTAACAGGAAAAAGTGAAAAAAAACAATATGTCCAAAGAAATCAGTAGACATAGACAATGTTCCTTAGTGATAATACTCAATATAGTCCTAGTCCAGAATTTGTGTTTTCTATCTCTAATGTGCCAATCTTCCTCCACTCTGTGCACAATAAACGAAGATCCACACCAACATGCAAAGTGGGTCCCACCACCTTTTCTCTTATGCACTAACCTCTAGCTGTGGACCTATGAACATATGTTATTAGATCTAGATGGGCATTTTAACCACCTTCCGCCTGCCCTATAGTAAAATGACGGGCACAAGGTGGTTTCTCTCGTTCTGATAGGACGTCATATGAGGATGTCCCACCAGACTCACTGCGCATGTGCGGCTCAGGGAGCGTGCAGCGCAGCAATCGCCGGTGAGCTGTGTCCCTCGGACACAGCGGATCACGGAAAGAGCCGAAGATGTCGGCTCGGTCATGTGATCAGCTGTGTCCAATCACAGCTGATCACATGTAAACATGGAAATGCCGGCTATCGGCATTTCTCTCCTCTCGAGCTGTCACGCCGACAGCTCGAGAGGAGAGGAGAGCCGGTAATCGGCTTTCCACGGAGGGAACATGTACACTGATCATCAGGGCACTGATCAGTGTGCCCTGATGATCAGTGTGGCCCCAGAAGTGCCACGTGCCAGTGCCCATCAGTGCCAGTGCCAGTGCCCATCAATGCCACATATCAGTGCATACCAGTGCACATCAATGCCACATATCAGTGCCCATCTGAGCTGCCTTTCCATGTCACCCATCAGTGCCAGTCAGTGCCACCTAATGCCAATCAGTGCCACCTATCAGTGCTGCCAATCAGTGCCACCTAACAGTGCCAGTCAGTGCCGCCTAACAGTGCCAGTCAGTGCCGCCTAACAGTGCCAGTCAGTGCCGCCTATCAATGCCATATATCAGTGTCATGTATCAGTGATGCCTGTCAATGCCCATCAGTGCAACCTACCAGTGCCTCCTCATCAGTGCCCATCAGTGCCACCTATCAGTGTCCATCAGTGCAGCCTATCAGTGCCCATCACTGCAGCCTCATTAGCACACATCAGTGAAGGAGAAAAATCACTTATTTACAAAATTGTATAACAAAAACTAAGAAAAAATGTTTTTTTTCAAAATTTGTAGTGGTTTTTGGTTTGTTTAAGAAAAAATAAAAATCACAGAGGTGATTAAATACCACGAAAAGAAAGCTCTGTCTCAAAAAAAAATGATAAAAATTTCATATGGGTACAGTGTTGCATGACCGCGCAATTATCATTCAAAGTGTGACAGCGCTGAAAGCTGGAAATTGGCCTGGGCAGGAAGGGGGTAGAAGTGCCCTGTAGGCTAGTGGTTAACCTCCAAGGGCTATGGGCGTAATAGCCTCTATCTTCTGAGTTAACCTTATGGATGATTTTCTCCTTTAATTAATCCTGGGGGATGTTCCTTTAAGAGACCACTGGTCTCTGCCTTCTCTGCTTCCAGTGCACTCAAGAAAGCATACAATGGCCTCTCATAGTATAGTAAACTTCATTCAAAGCATTTATTAACAGTAATGCATTTACAATAATCAAATGGTAAAAAAAACACCTTTAAAATCTCACTGTATAGTCACAAATCAGCTCTCCTGTGGCATCAGCATCACCCGACTCCTCCCACGTGTTGCGTCACACCCACGTGACTTCATCAGTTCTGCTGGTCTGCTCTGTGAATAACAATATGTGTTACCTAACCTAAAGAGCACATGTAATAAATCACACTGTGTTGGTTGTAGCTGGGTATATATGCAAAATGCTACTTTTATTAATTGCATAAAATATGCATTGATTAGATGCTTAACTGTATTTATGTTAGCTTTGCTTTGCTGATCACACTCCAAAGAAGACTGTATATACAAAAGTAATTGGGTATTGTAGTCAGTGATGCATTGGTGTTTTTTCATTTTATGTTATTTACATTCTATTTGTTTCAATATTTTAGACAATCCAGCACAGATTGGAAGTGTTCCAGTTATGATAAAAGTATTAGATGTCAATGATAATGCTCCAGTATTCACAAAATTCTATGAAACATTTATGTGTGAAAATGCAAAAGCTGGACAGGTAAGAATGGTTTGTAACAATATCTGTTGGGCTGAACGTTTGGAGCTATTGCTCAAAGCAACACAGTTGTTATCCACTCCATAGATTGTTGCATTCTTAAAGCTGGACTGTAAACAGATATGAAAGAGTCAGTCATTTCAATCAGTTAGGTGTCTCTAACAAAATCTTTAGCAGGGACCTTGCGTGACTTGCACAGGAGAGCATTCTAGCCAGGGGCAGACTGACCATTTGAGCACTCGGGCACTGCCCGAGGCCCGGGGTCAGTAGGGGGCCCCATGAGATGCCGCTGGTACCTTTTTGATAGGCTTTTTTAGGTGTGGGCGAGGACACAGGGGCCCCCATGATCCCCTATTGCCCGGGGGCCCCGTGAGTTGTCAGTTCGCCCCTGATTCTAGCAGTATTTGGGCTCCTCAGTCTTCTAAAGATCCTGTGAGCAAGTTAAAGTGGAGTAACTTTTGTGTTTGTTAAAAGTCAGCAGCTAATAAAAACTGTAGCTGCTGACTTTTAATAAACACACACTAACCTGTCCCAGGGTCCAGCGATGTGCTCACCCGCGCCATGCCTTCTCTGCCTCTTTTTCTCCCCGGCGCTGGCATTACAACTGTAGGCACCAGGCTGTGACAGCTGGCAGCTTCACAGTCGGGTGCCCACTGCACATGCACGAGTCGCATTGCACATTCTGATTGGTCCGACAGTCTTCTGGGACCTGTGAAGGTTGCCAGGAGACTGCGGGAGAAAGGAGGGGACTGAACTTTCGGCTCACTCAGCCAGAAGTGGGAGCAGGTTCCTGTCAAAACCAGATACCTACTCCCCCCCAAAATATTGCAGTGGAGGAGGGGAGGCAAACAAGCGGAGCTTCCACTTTTGAGTGGACCTCCACTTTAAGTGACATTATCTTGGTTGAGGTGGTAGGTGAGCATGCCAGAAACCTGGGTTTGATTGAGTATTTTTCACTTTCTGTTCTAATTTTTATTATTTGTTAGAATTTTTTAGCTAGCATTTTATTTTTGAGGGATAATGGGATAGGTAATAACAGAACCTTGTATTTTCATGCAAGGTCCAGTTTAAATGTATCTATAGTACTTCTGATTGTCTTGATATTGATAATAGTGATTATAATAAATCTTTTCTCCTCCAGTATATAATCTCTCTTCTATTATATATGAGGCAAGGTTTTCCTTTCAAGACAAAATAAAATAAAATTCCTTCTACTCATGTTTGATCATTTTCACCTGTACTTTTCCCACTGATTATTATTAAAGGATACGTTCACAGTTGGGGACATGTTAAATGTTCCACCCATTTTTAGAGTTCTGTGAATGAATGGACTACAAGTCTCAACAGCCATTGCAGCTGTTGGCTTGCAGTTCTCAATGAACTACCATGGCACTGTGGAGCACCGTGTTGGTTCATTGATTCTTCCTGTCAGTATATCTGCTTGCCAGTAAATCATGTATGGGCAGGCAGATATACTGACAGGTCTGCAGGAGACCTGCACAGCACTAGCGATCTGCGGAATGGTGTTGCAATGTTTTAGAGGCTCCTGCAACAAAAAATAATAAATGCACATTTTTTTACCTGCAAAAAAATGTGCATTTAATATTTTTTGGCAAAAGGTGAACTTATCCTTTAAGGGCTCATACACACAGACACAGTGTGAAAAAAATGTATGTTTTCGGACCCAGGAGTTGGGGGGGGGGGGGGTTCAGCCCATTGCCAGCAGCCTGTCAAAATCTAACTGTATGCAGCTATATGCACATCCGGGCAATACATACAAGCTCATATGTGTACAGGAAGCTGTGCATACAATCATATATTTTGCACTCTTATGTTTATACTATGTAAAAGGCTACTAAAGCAACCTAGTAACAAGTTACATATAGTGACTGGAATGTAATACTAGAAACTATAGATTAGCAGGATCTTGTGATATGGTGGAGAAAGAGTGGGTAGATGGAAAGAAGATATCATGCCATTTAACTTACATAAATAAAATCAATAAAATGAAAAAATGATTAATAATTTTAGTAATTTATGGTATTTCATAAAACTCTGTGAAATAATCATATATGTACCCTAAATTGTTACACTGCAAATCATAACTTGCAGTTATCTTCCCCTATGGCAGCTTGTCTGTAAATCTCTTTACCAACTCTAGACCTTCCTGAGTAGATTCATTATTTATACATCAATAAATCTACTTCAATTCAATATAAATTTGTGTTGGGTATAAGGCATTTGCCATTTCGAAACTCAATAACAACTTGGTCATCAAACAATTGAAGGGAAAATACTGAACAAACCACTAAATACACATATAAGGTTGCTGTTTTTTTTCTTTTTCTAAAGTAGTAAATATTACGGTTTACATGTATTCTTCACACTATACAACTAAGCGGGTGATACACTTAATTTCCAGTTTGGTAATTCAGCTTCTTGGTTCAGCAATGCAGTTCCCAATTTCACCTTTCCCCTTCTTGCTGCCTCATTTGGCAGTGAATCGGTATCTTCAGCTCTGTATAATAGGCAGTAATCTGGCCCACGACAGTAACTTACTGACAAGTGAGTTTGACTTGTGAAGTGAGTATATTAACAGCATTACTGGACAGAATCAAAAATACTTTGTAGAGTAAAGGAATCAATTTATATGTATTCATCTGTGTATTTAGCTGTTTGCTGGGAATTCCATTTTGACCTAGTTCTCATGCCCAGCTTTGGGCCTGCCTATATTTATACTATTTTATTTACCTAAAGAGCAAATAATTTGGTAATTCTAAAATGCCAATCCTTTTTTTTGTTTGTTTCAATACGGTTTTATTAAACAACTCAATACAGTTGAATTTTTGTTCCATAAGGATGTGCTTACTTTACTTTGCATGGTACAAACACATTAGATTGAACACAAAAAGAGGTTGAGGTTAATTGGCTAAGGATATACTCAACTCATATGTACATGAAAATATGCGTCTCAGTAAAGCGGGGTCATGAAAAAAGTAGGCATACCCAAAAAGTGCTTTTTGTGAAAGGATGAATACCTTAACATTAAATAAGTGTTGTCAAGAAAAAACACCCGAAGAATTGAAGGACTATTTACAGATTTAAGACTGTGCTTTGGGAAAGCTAAAGAATAAGTCCCATACTCTTTGGACAATCCCTTTTTTTCTACATTAAGAGTCTGTTTGGTCACAGATTAATTTAAGAATTACCCTGTAGGAATTAATAGAATAAGTTTACATACCAAGTGTAAGCAGAATTATTCACTAGTTGCAAAGGAAAACTTAAAGTACAGCGGTAACATATAACTAAAGGCAAAACCTATAGATATAGATTTGGACATTGTGGTAAGGAGCTAGAACCACTGTCAGGTATGTATTTCTGTCTTTGTTTGGGGGATTGAGTCTCTCTAATTCCACCTCTTTACCCCTTGGCAGTTGAGGAGGGCTCCCAGGCTGTTTGGTGGGCTTGGATTTCAACACTCTTCACCCATTGTGTTTCTTAAAGTGAGTGTAAATGCTTGTATTTTTGTTTTATGCTTGCCTGAGTATCCCTAAACCTCCTCATCTCGGGTCCCTTGCTGGCACTCCTGGCTCTTCCCCTCCGCCAAGTGCTCCTTAGAAAGCTGCTTTCTATAGGGCATTCATGCAGGCTCTCTCTCGAGTCTGTCTGAGTTTATTGACAAAGACAGCAAGACACCCCCCTGCTCCTTCATCACTGCCTTTGATTGACAGCAAAGCCCAAGAGACCAGCAAGTGAAGGGAGAGAAGAGATGCAGATGTGCATATCGCTGGATCGAAGGAGGGGGGATAAAGATTCCTAAACTTTTTTTACCTTAATGCAAGGAACTCATTAAGGTACAAATTGTTTAGGTGTTATAACCACTCTGACAGCATATCCAAGGTTTCTGGCACCACCTATAGTTAGACAGGGCTGTGCAAATCTCAGAACTGAATGAAGAGTAATTCAAATCCTTTGGCAGATAAAACACATACTAATATCTATTTCTTTTGTTTATCTGGATGTTTGTCTGGAGTTCAGGTCTAAGAATTTAAATCCATGGGTGAATTGATATTCTTTTAGTATTTTACAAATTAAAAATTCTACTGTTTTTCAATTAACAGCATTAGCCCTAAAGTAATAAGTGTGAAATTACTCTGAAAATAGGTTCATTGGAAGTCATCAAGAGAAGTCTTTCTATAAGCGCACATACTGTATATTCCAATGCAGACAGAATGATATAGATCCTATCAGTTTCACAGGTCATAGATAATACGCATATTCAGATTCAGCTTCTTATATTGTGTACCTTAAATTTTGCTTTAGCAATAAGAATGATTTTTAGTCTCAGTATAACCCTTTATACGCCCAAAGTCTGCATTACCCGAAAGCAGCTTTACCAAAGGCCCATAGCTTGGTAAAACAAACATGAAAAGGAGAAAAAAAAGTTCAATATAAATAGTTTGTGAAATTTGGTTACACTAAAAATCACCAACAGTAAGGACAAATATAAAAGATCAGATATTGCACTGCGCCTTTTATAAAACAAACTCTTGTTTCTCTTATGTTAGCATCCCTGGCTTTCTAAACGAAGTGACCCTTCATCAGTGGAAGAATAACTGATTCATAAACTCTCATAAATATGAAGCTTTAATTGAGTTACTTGAATATAATGTTGCTGCTACCCAATGACCTTCCAACGTTTTACTGAATTGTGAAATTGACAGTTAATTTTCCTCTGAATTGTGACTGTCTGTTATGTATTATATACCTCAAACAGCTTAAGGTTCTATAACAAAGACATTTAATAGAGTTCAGTTATCAGTATTTTCACCTGTTCTATTCTTCATTTGCATTTCAGCTGATTCAGACTTTGAGTGCAATAGACCAAGATGATCCTCAAGAAGGCCAGCATATATCCTACAGCCTGCCTCCAGAGGGAGCCAACAATCCAAATTTTACATTAAGGGATAACCAAGGTATCTATATTGCACTTTGAAAATATGTTTAAGATGGTCCTTATTTTGGTTATAAAACCAACACATTTGAGTTAAACTGCATTGTACCAAGTCCAGCTCTGAATACCTTTTTTACATTTTAGATTGATTGGGCAAGGAAGTGGTATATTTGGTTTCGTGCTGCCCTAGGCAACACAAAAATCATCTCCCCCCCCCCCCTCACGGAGAGGCTGACATTGACCAACAACACCCCAGCCCCCCCCAACCCCACCCGAGATAGCCTTCCACTGCCCCCCATACACTGGAAACCCCCCCACCCTGGTGAGAGAGAAGACACTCACCTTCATAGTTCCGGACATCCCCGGGAACAAGAATCAAGCTCTGCATACACCAGCAAACAGACCACAGCCTCTCTCAGATCCCATTTGGTCCCCATGTTGCGTATGTCCCTTCTTCCATCCCTTCCTTCAGGGGGTGGCACTGACCCCCTGAAAAATGCCGCTGCCCCCCTGAAAAATGCCACCCTAGGCAAATGCCTTGTTTGCCTTGTGCTAAATACGCCCCTGGGGCAAGGGTTGAAACTTCTGTCAGATTTCTATTGATGTTGAAGGCCTCAATAAAGAATGTTTGTTCCCTTTATCCTTTTTCTATGTGACGCCAATACAAGAAATGAGGGTTGTCATGTAAAATGAAAGCACAAACAACAATACAAATGTTGTAATGGGTTTCCCTCTTGGGTTTTATTTTTGTCTCCCCAATGAAAAGATTTCCAAACATTTTCAGTTACTGGGAACTGAAGTAAGAGAAAATCTGCACCCTGGGGACACAAACACCGATGAAAACTTAAACCAGTCATTCCCAACATTTTAACCCCATGAAACCCCTGAAATGTTTTTCAGGTCTCAAGGTACCCTTACTAAAACCAGTTCTTCAAAGGATCTATGGCAAAAATGTCTATTACATAGTGTTCAGAAGATATAATGTGTTCTCTTTACAGTGGTTGACAGAGTGCCACTCTTTCAAACAGCTTAAAAGATCATTGGATTTAGGCCACTGGCTCTCCCAAGTGGAAGTGAACCTTGAATTATTCAGGCAGGTCAGATGGGAGGTCAAACAGCCACAGCTCAAGGAACACCTAACAACCTCTGGAGGAACCCTAGAGTTCCTCAGAACCCTGGTTAAAAATAGCTGATTTAACCTCTTGCCGACCGCACATAGCCGAATGACGGCTTCACCGCGGCCGGCCAGTTCTGGGTGGACGTCATATGACGTCCCCCCAGAACGCGCTCTCCTGCGCGCCCCAGGGGGTGCGCACCCGGCGATCTCCGTGATCGCTGTGTCCTACGGACACAGCTGATCACGTGATGTGGTAAAAGGCCAATCACAGCGGCCTTTTACCACGTGATCAGCAGTGTCCAATGACACGCTGATCACAGGGAAATGCAAGTGCCGGTTCTTGGCTGCACTTTCCTCACGCTGTCAGATCGTGAGGAAAGTACTGCCGAGAACCGGCAGTTGTCAGAGCGGGGATCGGCACCGATCATCAGGGCACTGATGATCAGTGCCCTGATGATCGGTGCCCAGCAGTGACACCCGCAAGTTCCGCCCAGCAGTGCGCCCACTAGCTCCGCCCACCCGTGCCCAGCAGTGCACCCACCTGTGCCCAGCAGTGCCCCCACCTGTGCCCAGCAGTGCACCCACCTGTGCCACTCTGCAGTGCCACCTACCTGTGCCCAGAAGTGCCACCCACCTGTGCCCACCCACCAGTGCCACCCACCTGTGCCCACCGGTGCCACCCACCTGTGCCCACCCACCAGTGCTGCCCACCAGTGCCACCCACCAGTGCAGCCCAGCAGTGCTGCCAGTCAGTGCCACCAGTCAGTGCCCAGGGGTTGTGCCAGTCAGTGCCGCCAGTCAGTGCCCAGCAGTGATGCCAGTCAGTGCCGTCTATCAGTACCCATAATCAGTGTCACCTATCAGTGCCGCCTATCAGTGCCACCTATCCGTGACCCCTAATTAGTGCTGTCTATCAGTGCCGCCTATCCGTGCCACCTCATTAGTACTGCCTATCAGTGCCCTTTAGTGCTGCCTATCAGTGCCCATCAGTGCCGCCTATCAGTGCCCATCAGTGCTGCCTCATCAACGCACATCAGTGAAGGAGAAAAAATACCTGTTTGAAAAATTTTATAAAAGAAACAAATAAACTTTTTTTTTTTCAAATTTTTTGCACTTTTTTTATTTATAGCGCAAAAAGTAAAGCGCCCAGTGGCGATTAAACACCACCAAAAGAAAGCTCTATTTGTGAGAAAAAAATGATCAAAATTTCATATGGGTACAATGTTGCATGACCGCGCAATTGTCAATCAAAGTGCGGCAGCGCTGAAAGCTGAAAATTGGCCTGGTAAGGAAGGGGGTATAAGTGCCTGGTAGGCAAGTGGTTAAACACAAGAACTAGGAACAAATGGGCACTGGATTCAAATATTAAAGGGTCACTGGTACTGTAACAGCGCGGATTTGGCAGCACTTCACAAAATGGGGACATCCCTTAGAAACAAGGAAAGAACCCAGATTTGTGAATCCACATACGTACAGACCATTGAGAGGGCCAAACAATTGTCCAGGATTCTAAGGTTTTTAATGATAAAATGGATTCATAGCAGGAGAAAATGTGTTTGGCTTTCTTCTGCTACTAATTAGTTTTATCATTCAAAAAATTCAAACTGCTGGATGTTTGTTTGTTAAATCTGCTGTTAAAGTGCAAACAGGAATACAGCTCTGAGGGGCAGGTAGGAGATGCTACCTCACGGAAAAGGCGAACATTGCCTTGCTGGGGCTGTGAAGAATTGGCCATCATCAGAGAGACTGCCCCAACTGTAAACAGAAGAACCTGTTAAACTAAAATGCTCCATTGTTAGGAATCAAGCATTGGTGCAGCAAAATGGAAAAACACCCCATTTAAGAACTGAAGATGCGATGGCTGACTGTCCTGTTGTGCATCGATATTTACTTTCCCAAGAGGACGATGAGCCCTTACGCACCATGGATCTGAATGACAACCACAAATGGGCTCTCCATAAAAGTAATCTGATTTACCTTTATGAAGAACAATAAAAGCTCCAAATGAAAATTTTGAGAGTCTGATGAATCAACTGATGACAGCAAAAAAGCAAAGAACTACCAAATGTGTTTTTGGGGTCACAAAATCCCCTTTCTTTAGGTCTGGGAGGAAATTTACAATATTATGTGGACTTCAAAGTGCTCTTGTACAGACTGATCTGCATTTTTGTTTGGTACTTTTTTATTGACCTGCTGTACTTGGATTTTTCAGTACAAGTTAACCTCCTCTCTAATGGGTCCCTGTCCTGTGGTGAGCTGCCAAACCAAAACCACTGAGCTGATTTTAGGATGATACGGTCTACCTTATGAAAAGGGCCAAGATGCTGAAAGGGCACCCTGTAGAGTGTCCTGCTGAGAATCACAACTTCAGCAAAACAGTTGGGACACAAACAACCACTACAATTATTTTCATAAACAGCAAACAGCTGGAGGAATCGAGGGTCCAAGGACAAAGGGTCACTCCATTGGAACTGGAGTACTTGGTAGTCATTGTGGCAAGATTCTCACAGTAGTAGGGTCTTCCCAACTGTAGCTGTATGCTACTAGGCTCCAGTCAGCCTGGGCACATGCCAGTTCTGAAAGTGGAGGGCCGCACAACTGGCTCACCAGGTGTGGCTTTTCTGAGCTGCTGGGAGAGGAAGCTGAGGAACCTATCCTCCCCGGTGTATGTCCAGGAACCCAGGGAGTTGTAGGAAATAGAAGTAAAGGGATCCATGTCTGCATTTGATCATCATAGTGAGTAAATGAGGACCTTGATACACAGCCGTATGGTACCCTGATTGAGCCACATAAACATTTCTGTGAATAGTCAATATTTGTGAAGCTTTCATATTCAGACTGTATGTTCATCCTACAGTGTATGCATGTTCTTTGGCATTCTGGACCTGTTTTGCATTGTTTTATAAAACTTTGCACTAGTTTAATAAACTGCAAGTTTCTGTCTGATTAATTGGACGGTTATATATTCTGTTAAACAAGTAACATGTCAGCACTTGTCTACAAATCAACAGACTGGGAATGAAATGTCCTATGGTAACCTTCTCTGACCACAGAGATAAGTAGAGACTTGCAAACAGCTGTTGGTGTAGAAAAGCAGCATCAAGCATTTACCGGTACTTGTGCTTTATAGAGACAACACGTAGGGTTGCTTTTCCTCATCCTTCTTCGTAACAGACTTTCTATTCTTCTGACATGACAAATAAGCTGTATTTCAAACAGGAAATGGCCAGCAGTCCTTTAACGTACAATCCTCATTTTGAGTTAAAGCTGACCTTCACCCATACAAAGCATTTCCTCTACTTTGCCTCCTCCACCCCCCACTCCCTCTTTCTTAAACAGTTGGGACTATTTTTATTTTAAACATAAATACCTTTTATAACTTCTGTATTATTAACTTCCTGAACCATCGTCTAGGCCAGTGGTCTCAAAACTGTGGCCCAGGGGCCAGATGTGGCCCTTTGCTTGCCTTTATCAGGCCCCTGGGGCACTATTCCTCATACTGACACCAAGTATGGGGCACTATTCCTTTTACTGACACCAACTATGGGGCACTATTCCTTTTACTGACACCAACTATGGGGCACTATTCCTCTCACTGCCACCAACAATAGGGCACTATTCCTCTCACTGACAACAAAGATGGGACACTATTCCTCCCACTGCCACCAACGATGGGGCACTATTCCTCTCACGGACACCAAAGATGGGGCACTATTCCTCCCACTGACACCAACAAAGGGACATTATTTCTCCCTCTGACACCCACAATGGGGCACGATTCCTCCCACTGACACCAAAAATGAGGCACTATTTCCCTCACTTACAACAACAATGGTGCAATATTCCTTCCCAGAGTACCAAAGACCAAGTACCAACCATTTTCTACTCCAAAAAGCCACAGTCTGCCCCCCTAAAATCTTACCCTTTGTTTAGGAAGCTTGGAGACCCCTGATCTAGTGCAAGGATGACATAGACTGAGTGTTCATAGGTCTCTGACAGGTCTCACACACACACACACACACACACACACACACACACACACAAAGAAACCCATAGGTCCCTGATAGTCTATGGGAACAGTGGCATGTCTGCACATGCATGGGATCTTGTTCCAAGATGGTGGCGTAAGAGCAGTGTGGTGAGGGACAATTTTGTCTGCCAGGAAGACAACGCTGGTGTCCATTGACTAGTATGTTCTTTTTTCTTTATTTTCACACGGACAATTATCAGGGCATATACACTTAATTGTAGCTAGGTTGAGTAAAGTTACTTTTGAAATTAAAAAAAAAAGCCTATTTATGTGGGGTAGCTAACGAAACATAATTTTTTTCACTTACTAAAAGGGTAAGAAAGTTTGTCAATTACCCTGGTCTCAGTATATTAGCAAAACCTACTATACTGTATATTATATTCATGAGTTTTTACCTTTTTGTCTAGAGCCTTTTACACACAGTTTTCAGCTTGTATAAGAATAGCATGTACAAAACATGTGCAAAGCTCCCAACAAAGCTTCAAGCAACTTTCCCAAAGTTTTTAAAGAAATCTTTCTCTTTATTTTTGGGGTGTTGAACACTGATCTTAAAAGGACTAAACAAACTATGGCCTTTGTCAGGCTTTAAACATGTTTGAGGTAGTGCTAAAGCTTTCTGAAAGCATGTTTCTGAAAGCATGTTGAAGCTGTTAAGCATGGTAGACAAAGCTCCTATTATGATCTATGTGACCAACAAAAAGTTGTACCTGTGTTCCAACTATAATTATATTTCTGTACTACAGAAAAACAATAGAGACATAAAAAGAAACGATACCCAATCTGCACTACATGAATACTCATATATGTTATATATAAATCTCTAATGGACCAACTGATAAAAATGTGTGAAACACCAACAAACAAAATTGCTTCTGTACTTAACCACTTGCCACCCAATGACATCATCGGGTTCGAGTGGTTATACCGGGGGAATGCGATGCTGAATAAAGTTAAAGTGATTTGAGCAGCTAATTAGTCGCAGAATTGTTTCTTGGTTTGATCAGATGCTTTTAAGGGCAAAGGTGAGATCCGGGGTCTAAAAGATCCCAGACCTCTCGATAAAGAGGAGCTGTCATTGCTCCAACTCTCACAACGGCTGTTGTTCATCCCTTGTGATAGCCATAAAAGTGATCAAAAAAGAAATTAAATAGTGTAAAATGTAAATATAAATATTCAAATAAAAAAATAAAGCACCCCCATCCCCTTGTGTTTGCCTGCAAAGACAAACTCATATGTAGGCCGTGCACGCATATATAAATGGTGTTCACACCACACATGTGAGATATTGCCATAAATATTATAGCGAGAGCCAGGGGCGGACTGACCATTTGGAAACTTGGGCACTGCCCGAGGGCCTGGGGTCAGTAGGGGGCTCCATGAGATGCCCCTGGTACCTTTTTTATAGGCTTTTTGAGTTTGGGCAAGAACACAGGGGCCCCATGATCCCCTATTGCCTGGGGGCCCCACGAGTTGTCAGTCCACCCCTGGCGAGAGCAATAATTCTAGCAATAGACCTCCTGTGTAACTCTACCCTGATAACCTGCGAAGGCTTTTAAAGCTTCGTATATTTTTAAAGCGTGACATGTTAGGTATCTATTTACTCTGTAAAATATTATCTTTTATAATTTACCAGTTAGATATTATATTGTGTTTTTTGTACAAGAAAATGAATTTGAAAAACTGCAGCACAAATACAATGTAACAAAAAATGTATATAATGTTTGGGGTCTGTAAGTAATTTTCTAGCAAAAAAATGCAGATCTTTACATGTAGGAGAAAAATGTCAGAATAGGCCCGGGGGCCAAGTGTTTAATAACCCGCAAAAAATTAAAATAAATGAAGTCTATAATACCTCATATAGTATAGCACTTTGATATATACCTCACAATAATAAAAATAATAAAGTGATCATAACATAATGTCAATAAAAACATAAATAAAGATGAAACTACAATGGTGTTCTGTGTTTACATACAAAAACAAATTCAATAGTGATACAAAATGTTCAAAAAAGAGATGTGAACAGAAGCAAAGAGTCCACTTCAATCTTTCATACTGTAGCTCTCTTCTATGAACGAATATAATGCACCTTGCAACAAAAAAAAAAAAAACTTTCCATCCTGTGATAAATGTCCTTCTGTGCACACCCCAGGACAATCCACAGTGAACCCTTTCATCAGAAAGATCAGATCTGCACTTGCCAAACTAAAATGCCTCTCTCAAGAAAAGACACAAAATCTCAAGCTGTCTCACAAGGAATTCTCCTCTATCAACATGGATGGTTGCTCGGGACTCCACACTGCAGTGTCTCCCCTCCTCAATAGAGGGAAACCAGGCTCAAGCTGGAAGGAATCCTCCACCTATGTGGATGGCTGTTCCAGACTTCAAGGATGATTTGCCCACAAAAAGACAATTCTCACATAGTGTAATATGCTAAAGCAATATGGGTAACTATCAAAACTATGTACCTGCTCCCCCCAAAAAAAATATCATGTGTCAAATATGGTGGGGGGGGAATATAAAATGGAACTTCCCCTTTGGGGTGAAGTTCCGCTTTATGTCAGTTCTCAGCTTTCAAGCCCTCAAATGGTTGGTCATAAGTGCAGAATCAGAATCATGATGGCTGCAGACCAACAGTAAATAGAGGTCAAAGTGGCACTGTCTTTGGGGAGTATAAGGGTTTACTATTGCTTTTAGAGGCCATTTTTATAATATGTTAGTACTTTAGTAAAATTCTTAACTATTTTTCCTTTGTAATTAAACAATACAGTATCCCAAGGTTTCAGCTCCTAATAATTGTGTCTTTTTATCTACACAGATAACACTGCTTGGATCTTAACCAGAAAATCTGGCTTCAAACAGTCTGAACAGAGCACATTTCACATCCCCATCTTAGTAGTAGACAATGGGAGGCCCACACTGAGCAGCACCGGTACTCTAACAATACAAGTTTGCAGCTGTGACGAAGATGGTGACATCATGTCCTGCAGTGCTGAACCATATACATTACCCATAAGCCTCAGCAGAGGGGCATTAATTGCAATTCTTGCTTGCATATTTGTGTTACTAGGTAAGATGATACTGTAACAAATACTACACTGAATTGAAACACATCTTGACAGACTTGGGTGGTGATGATGCAATCACAAGAAATGCCACTTTATGTTTTCTATAAACAAAAATTGAACCATAAGACAGTGATTGCATACATTTAAAACTTGTTAAGGCCAAGCTCTCATTATTTTGTGGAAATAACCCCTCCATTGTCCAGGTGATTGAACTGGGTATACCACCTGCAAATATCAGGTCATATATGAGAGCCCTAACTTATATCAAAAGAACATATACAGTATAAATAGAAACAATATTATACAGATCATGTATACAGCATACAGACAATTCTAAAACCTTGTCATAAAAATAATTGCTTTTTCTTCAGATTTCTGTAGCCATACATGCTTATTTAACATGGCATATAAAACTACAACACAGATTATGTATAAAACCTATTGCAGTCAATCACCTGCATTTTATTTGTAGCCTTAAGAATAATGAAAGCTTACTACTCACTGGTTGCTAATGTGTAGTTGCACTTTGCACATTGCCTTTTACTTTTTTACCATGAGCATGATTATGATCAAACGTCTCTCTGTTTTTTTGCCATTTTGCCAAGAGTGCATTTCTGAAATTGACTTTCCTTTAAAGTTTCTGAGATTTTTTTAGACAGAGACTATGATCTGTATAAATCATTTTGCACCCCTACACCAATGGTTCTTAACCACTTTCAATATAATGACACTCTGATTAGTGAATAGATCATTGCAAGAACAAAGTCTTCTGGCACCCACACCAAAGATGCCATTGATTTGCCTGCAAATGAGCCTAATAAACATGCCATGCATACATTTCCCAATATTCCATAGGGTTTCTTCTACACTTTATGTGCCAAGGAACTGCCAAAGCTAGTATTGCTATCTACAGTACGTAGTTCCTTCAACTACACAGACTTCCCTTCAGTCATCTGTTCATACCTTTAAAGGTCCCTCACTACATTAGCACTTTTCTATGCCCAGTTATACATACCGCAAAATCACATTTACATGATAGGTCTCTCAAAAATAAAGCCCGCCCCCCATAGAACCAATTAGTCCATCATGTATCTTTAATTAGAATTTAATCCAATTGTCAGTTCCACAAAAACTGTGAAAAAAAACAGTTGCATTTTCTGCAGAAACCCCATTCCTTAGTATATAGTTACATAGTTAATCTGGCTGAAAAAAGACAAAAGTCCATCCATTTCAACCATTAAAAAAAAAAAAAAAAAAAAAAAAGGTTATAATCCTATACTCACAATTGATCCAGAGGAAGGCAAAAAAAAGCCCAGCAAAGCATGATGCAATTTGCTCCTGCAAGGAATAAAATTACTTCCTGATCCCCCAAAGAGGCAATTGGATATTCCCTGGATCAACTTTACCTATAAATGTTAGTATCCAATTATATTCTGTGTATCTAGGAAGGAATCCAGGCCTTTTTTAAAGCAATCCACTGAGCTGGCCAGAACCAACTCTTGAGGAAGTCTATTCCACATCACTCACTGTGAAGAAACCTTTCCGTGTTTGGAGATTAACCACTTGTCCTCCTGAGGAATTACCCCCCCTTCATGACCAGGCCATTTTCTGTGTTACAGCGCTGCATTATTTTAACTGACAATTGCACGGTCATGCAAAAATTGCACCCAAATTAAATTTTATGTCTTTTTTTTTTCCCACAAATTGAGCTTTCTTTTGGTGGTATTTGATCGCCTGTGCTTTTTTTAAAAAATTTTTGCGCTATTAGCAAAAAAAGACCAACAATTTTGAGAAAAAAAACATTTTGGACTTTTTGCTTTTAAAAAAAGTCCAGTAAAAAAATTTAAAAAAATCAAATTTCATCATAAATTTAGGTCAAAATGTCTTTGCTAAAAAAATCCCAATACATGTAAATTAATTGGTTTATGGGAAAATTATAGCATTTACAAATGGCGGTATAGATAATGGGATTTTTTTTTTTCTTTCTACTAGTAACGGCGGTGATCAGTGACTTTTAGCAGGACTGCAGCAGACATTCTGACACTGGGGGGAACTAACTTGGTGTCACTGACATCCCCAATGACACCAATACAGTGATCAGTGCTAAAAAAAAGCAATGACACTGTACTAAGGACACTGGGCAGGAAGGGGTTAATGTGAGGGGCGATCAAAGGGTTAACTGTGTGCTGGAGTGTTTTACTAGGGGTGGGGGGGGGTGAACATTAAGCACACTGATCAGGATGGCTGTTCTGTGCACAGCCATCCCAAAAAGTGTGCTGGAGTTGACAGGGAGCAAGATTGCTTGTAAACAAAACAATCTTCCTCCCCGTCGGTGATGCTCGGTAATCATTGGGCTCTGGCGTGTGATTACCGGCTGGGACCCGGTGATTGACATCCACGGTCGTGAATGGTGGCGCGGGTTTAGGGCATGCACGCGGCTCACATGCGCCCCCTATCTGGAAATGCAGAATGACATTTATACGTGACTTTGTGCACAGGTGCCGCCCTGTAGCAGTATATCTGCTATAGAGCAGTCCTTAAGTGGTTACATTTCTTTTCCTCCAGATGTAAAGAGTGTCCCCTTGTCCTCTGTGATGACCTCAGGGTGAATAACTCTACACCGAGTTCACTATATGAACCACTGATATATTTATACATGTTGATCATATCGCCCCTTAATCTCCTCTTCTCAAGAGAGAATACATTCAGTTCCTCTAGTCTTTCCTAATAGCTGATCTCCTCCATGCCTCTTATCAGTTTGGTTGCCCTTCTCTGTACTTTCTCCAGTTCTCCAATGAATGAATTTGATTTTAGTTTTCCATGTGTCTGAACAGAGTTACAGGGCTCTCAACATAACAGAGGCCCAAACAGCAAACAGCTGTTTTTTTGAATGTAAAGAATGTATGACATCTCTGCTGTCTCCCAAGAGGGAAGCATATATAAAAATATATTTCTTATATAAGTACAGTTGTGACCAAAATTATTCAACCCCCACTGAAATTGAGTGTTTTGGCCAGTTTGACATTGCTTTTGATCATTCAGTCATCTTGCTTACATTTACATTAAAGAGGCACTTGTAGGTCAGACAAATATAACATAAACAGTTATAATGAAATAACCACAAATGTCTTTTCTGTGCTCACAGCATTATCAGTTTTATTCAACCCCCAAGTGACATTCAATCTTAGTACTTAGTACACAGCATCCTTTTACAGTTATAACAGCTTTTAAACGTGAAGCATAGCTTGACACAAGTGTCTGTGCAGCGATCTACGGGTATCTTCGCCCATTCTTCATGGGCAAAGGCCTCCAGTTCAGTCACATTCTTAGGCTTGCGCACTGCAACTGCTTTCTTTAAGTCCCACCAGAGTTTCTCAATCGGATTGAAAAGTCTGGTGACTGCGATGGCCACTCCAAAATGTTCCAGCCTTTCCTCTGCAACCATGCTCTAGTGGACTTGGAGGTATGCTTGGGATCATTGTCCTGTTGAAAGGTCCAACGTCTCCCAAGCTCAGGTGTGTGACGGACTGCATCACGTTTCCATCCAATATCTCCTGGTACTGAAGAGAATTCATGGTACCTTGCACACGCTGAAGCTTCCCTGTACCTGCAGAAGCAAAACAGCCCCAAAGCATGATTGACCCTCCACCATGCTTCACAGTAGGCAAGGTGTTCTTTTCATCATAGGCCTTGTTCTTCCTCCACCAAACATAGCGTTGATCCATGGGCCCAAAACAGTTCTAATTTTGTTTCATCAGTCCACAGAACACTATCCCACAACTTTTGTGGTTTGTCCACATGGCTTTTGGCATACTGCAGTCGACTCTTCTTATTCTTTGGAGACAGCAAGGGGGTACGCCTGGGAGTTCTGGCACGGAGGCCTTTCATTACGCAGTGTGCGTCTTATTGTCTGGGCTGAAACTTCTGTACCCACATCTGACAAATCTTTTCTCAGTTCCTCAGCAGTCACACGGGGACTTCTCTCCACTCTACGCTTCAGGTAGCGCACAGCAGTCGAAGTCAGCATCTTCTTTCTGCCACGACCAGGTAGCGTTTCAACAGTGCCCTTTGCCTTGAATTTGCGAATGATGCTTCCTAAGGTGTCTCTTGGTATGTTTAACATCTTTGCAATCTTCTTATAGCCATTGCCCTTCCTGTGAAGAGAAATCACCTCTTCTCTTGTCTTCCTGGACCATTCTCTTGCCTTCACCATGTTTGTAACCACACCAGTAAATGTCTAGAAGGAGCTGAGTATCACAGTCATTTTAAAAGCTGCCTAATTGGTGCTTATTATGCTTGATTGCTGCTCGGTGACATCCACAGGTGTTTTCAATCAATACCTGATGGAAAGCACCTGTATGAACCTCTGTTCTTCAGAGTGGTAGTCTTTAAGGGGTTGAATAATTGTGGCAATGAAGAAACCACATAAGAACCATTTACTACTGTATTACATAAACAATTGATGTCATTTTAGTTGCATTTGGGTAGTTACAAAACGTCCTTGTAGGATTTGATTCTGAATACAATTCCAAATGTACACTATAGTCCCTAAACCCCTTTACAGCATTGGGGGTTGAATAATTTTGGTCACAAACTGTATATATAGTATCTCCATGAAGAGTTCCAAAGAATTACATGGTAGTGTCATCACAGACTGATAAAATATACTCTGTCAATCAACAGTGATCTGTTCACTGACGGTTGAATATCACCTTCCTGCACTACCCATTTATGATTAGTAATGTCTGAAATAGTCCAAATAATGACTAATTAACCAGCAATGCAAATTAATTATTAATTGATTTAATGAGTAATTAAATATAGAGTTGTGATAAAACAATGATATACTGGAAAAGCATTGTTTGCTTTAATCCTCAAACCAAGTTAAAGTGCAATTAAACAAACAACTTTAAAGCAAACCTGTAGTTAGGGAAATAAGGGGCTGACCTTCCAAAAACGCTAGCTGCCTTGCATCAATACCTATTGAGGCACTGAACAAGAATAAAATGAAGTCAAAGTCAAGTCAGAGCTCCCAGTTGGTATACTCAGCCTCGACCAGTGAAGCCAGAAAATCACAATTACAGCCAAGAAACTATCATTTTCAAAACTAGAGGTCAGCATTGTCAACCCACATTGTTTTACCATGACAAATTCACTTTATGGGGACACTCCCTTGATTAGAAGTACAGGGGAAACTCGAAAAATTAGAATATCGTGCAAAAGTTTCAGTAACTTAAAAGGTGAAACTAATATATGAGATAGACTCATACCCCAACACTTTTGAATGGTCTTTTCCTGACAATCCTCTCCAGGCTGCAGTCATCCCTGCTGCTTGTGCATCTTTTTCTTCCACACTTTTCCCTTCCACATAACTTTCTATTAATGTGCTTTGATACAGCACTTTGGGAACATCCAACTTCTTTTGCAATTACATTTTGAGGCTTTCCCTCCTTATGGAGGGTGTCATTGATGGTTTTCTACACAACTGTCAGGTCAGCAGTCTTTCCCATGATTGTGATTCCTACTGAACCAGACAGAGAGACCATTTAAAGGCTCAGGAACACTTTGCAGGTATTATGGCTTAATTAGCTGATTAGAGTGGGACACTTTGAGCCTAGAATATTGCATCTATTCACAATATTCTCATTTTCTGAGATTGTGGATTTGGGGTTTTCATGAGCTGTAAGCCATAATCATCACAATGATGACAAATCACGGCTTGAACTATCTTGCTTTGCATGTAATGAGTCTATCTCATATATTAGTTTCACCTTTTAAGTTGCATTACTGAAATAAATCAACTTTTGCACGATTTTCTAATTTTTCGAGTTTCACCTGTACATAACTTTCCTCCTTATAGAGCTTCAGGTGAGAAAGTCCTTCCCAAATAATACAGAATGTGAAAATATGTTGTTGTTGGCTGAAATGAATTCATGTTGTGAATGGTTATCATAAATAGGAACTATTACTACTTATGAGGCTATTGTTCTGTTTCAGTGTTGGTGCTACTCATTTTATCAATGAGAAGACACAGAAAACAACCGTATACTATTGATGAAGAAGACAATGTCCATGAAAACATTGTTAGATATGATGATGAAGGGGGAGGAGAAGAAGACACTGAGGCATTTGACATTGCAGCTTTGTGGAATCCAAGGGAGGTTCATGTTGGAAAAAGCAGGCAGGACATGCAACCAGAGATCGAAAGCTTGTCCCGTTATGTGCCTCAGACATGTATGGTGGACAATAATGTTCACAGCTATATGTTGGCTAAGTTGTTTGAAGCAGACACAGACATTTGTGCTCCTCCTTTTGACTCTCTTCAAACTTATATGTTCGAGGGAGAAGGCTCAGTGGCTCAATCATTAAGTTCACTACAGTCTCTCAGTACAGACTCTGATCAGAGCTATGATTATCTTACTGACTGGGGTCCACGTTTCAAAAAGCTTGCTGAGATGTACGGAACCAAGGATAGCAATTCATCTTTGTGATGGCAAAAAGGAAATCTGAGTCGTTTTATGCAGGGCACTGAGCCCCACTTAATCTGGATCCATTTACTTTGGGATTTCAATCGAATCTTACATAAATGGAAAACCATAAATGGTGGAGTCATTAAACATGGATGATAGCTTATGATTGCCTAATCTTGCTCTGGATCAGCTTTATTTGGTCTACATGTACAAAAACACACTGGATAATGTTTATCATCCCGGGAAGTTTAAATATTTCTTGGATTTAAAGGACCTTTACATCCCGGAGTGTTATGGCATATATTTTTATACAACATCTGTCAAATACATGAAACGGCAAATAAGCAAAGGAAAATATTGTTTTATTCTTAATTTATAAAATGCTCACTACTGCAAATTTCAAAAATATGTAAAAACAAAAAAAAAATATAACACTGTTTAATCTATTTCTATGACCAGTTTGATCTCATATTCTTTTCTGTATAAGCACTGGAATCTTATGTAGTATCAGATCAAACATAATAATACTAATATTTTTGTTTTCAGTTTTATGGAACTTTTTTCCTTTATAACTTTATGGTGGCACTTGCTGAGTTAAAAAAAATGGTTAAACTGTTTGTGCCTGCACATCCTGTGTCACTGCCATGTGCCAAATTTTGTTCTTACATTTTATACATGAAAGCCAAATACCATTTGATTTTAACATAACCCCATTAAAATGTTCTTTTCTGTGGGAAATAACCCTCATGATGTCACCATGTGGACATTTGGAGTTGTTGTTGTTTTTTTTTTGGTTCCTGTGTGCGGCCATTTTTCCTGTTCATGTCATAGCTGAGCAGGTATGAATCTAGAAGAAAATTGTATCTGGACCCTGTTTACATTCTCTTCTTGCAAGGGGAGGTTTTTTTTCTGCATCCCTGCTCAATGTAGCAATGAAGGAAGGATACACACAATTATTTTTGTTGTGTGCTGGAGAACTTTGTATTGCATCATCTCTGCTTCACCGGTAAAAGAAGGTAGAGAGGTAAAGATTAAAAACAGATCCAGAAATGTATTACGGCTGATGTTCTTCTTTAAAGTGTATGTACACTACCAGCATTTTAAATGGCTTTCTTTATGTTATTTAACCTAAGAAATGTTTACATCAGAGCTGTCCAAGTATTTCCATAAAGGGGCCCACATTTCTGTAATTAGTATGTTTTTGTGGGCCTGTTACTAATGAATAAGTGAATATGTAATCAAGCAAATTTTTTCAGGGAAACTGGGAGCTCCAAAGAGCTTTGGAGGGCTGCTTTCAGCTTGCCAGTTGGACAGCCCTGTACTTGATGAACAATTGTGGAATCCCAGAAAATTAAACCACATTTTGTATATTTGTCAATAATTTTGGTAATGAATTATGATGTACTGAACAGCCAGTACTTTAGCACTTCTTTAATAAAAAGTTGTACTTAAAGATATATCTTATGTTTTGTTGTGTATGTTTGATCCACTGATAATGTAACTGGTTTCCTATTTAAAATGAATGTCCATCTGAAATTCGCCAATTCTTTTAAATAGGGATGCACCAATACCGATACCAGTATCCGTGCCAATACCAAGTATTTTCACGAGTACTCATACTCCTGAAACAAATACTTTGTAGTACGATTTTGTGTCAATACAAAATCTATAAACGCAAATTGCACCGCAAAAAAATAGCATGTGATTTGAACAGGAATGTGGTGCCATTCCTGTCTGAATCGCATGTAGTTTCCCCATCACTCCTGTGTGAACCCAGGCTTGTCATAGCCTGAGTTCACACAGGAGCAGTGCGGGAAACTTCCCTGCACTAATCCCTTGCTGTCACAGAAGGAAAAGTTGAGGATTTGAAATCCCCGTGACTTTCTCTCCTCTCAGTGCACGGATGACAGAACAGGCTAGACAGCTGTTTATTGGTCAGCACCGTCATGGCCTGTTCTGTCATCCCTGCAAGGAGAGGAAAGAAAGCTGTGGGGATTTCAAATCCCCAGTCGTGTAAAGTGGCTTTGTCTCCTCTCCTTGCAGGGGTGACAGTATGGGCTAGACGGCTTCTGATTGGTCAGCATCGTGACGGTGGTGATCGATCATAAGCCGTCTAGCCCATACTGTCATCACTGTACTGAGAGGAGAGAAAGCCATAGGGATTTTAATTCCCCAGCTTTTCCTTCTGTGACAGCATGGGTTTGGTGCAGAGAGGTTTCCTGCACCACTGCTATGTGAACTCTGGGAGGACTGGGTTCACACAGCAGCAGTGGGGAAACCGCATGCAATTTGGACAGGAATCACATTCCTATTCAAATTCCATTCTATTCTTTGTGGTGCAATTTGTGTCCATACAAAGTATCGGTACTCTGTATCTGCGGCTACTGTAATTAACTAAAAGTGCTCGGCGATCAAAAAAGGGTATCAGTGCATCCCTACTTATAAATAACATGCTTTGTGGATGCTTTGGTTATGACTCTTGGAAAACATCGGTGACACCATATTCTGCCAACACATAAAATGCATTTCTAATTATTTTCTTTTACATAATTGCTTAGTTTACATACAGCAGCATTTGTATAGCATTATTTGTTTAGCTTTGTACTGAGTGGATATGGATAAGAACATTGGATGGATTAGGTTTGTATTGATACCTCTGCTCCGTTAGAGAGATTCACCCTCTATATTTGTCCTGGTTACCATTATCATTAAAATGAAAATAAAGTCCCAAATTTTGGGTTGTTCCCAGAACAGTAATAAAGGGGAAATGTTTCAATGGGGACACTGGTTTTAGTGACCGGGGGGGGGGGGGGGGGGTAAATGGATTCTGTTAATTTGGAGAGATGTCCTCTCGCTTCCAGTTTTAACTATGAGACAGGAAGTGAGGGTGAAAAGCTAAAAAGACTGAACAATTTCTGAGAAATGTAGCAGGCATTTAGCATCCATAAACAAATGTGGTTTTTTTTTGGACACTGACAATGGAACCAGCTTACAGGTTTGCACCACAGCTTAAAAGTTTTATTGGACAGGCCACAAGCTTGCACCACAGCTACTAAGATTACTTCGACAGACTGCAATTTCTGAAAGATTGAACAGGTATGTAAAAAATTATCTTTTTTTTGGACACTGACAAAGGCAAAAGCATACAGGTTTGCAACACAGCTAAAATTTAGTTTTGAATAGGCCCCAATTTTTTAAGCAATTGAGCATGATTTTAGCATAAAAAATATGTTTGCTTTTATTTGTGGACACTGAGGATGAAAATAACATACATATTTGTACTACAGTTAAAAGCCCCCTTGGCCATCTACGGTTGAGCAGTCAACGGTTGAGCAGCCATTTAGCACAGGAAATAAACAATTAGTGTATTTTTTGCACACTGATGATTGAAAAAGCATACAGCTTAGCAACACAGCTAACAAACAGATGTGGACAGGCTGAAAATTTGGAGGGATAGGACAGGTGGGCGTATTACAAAAGGAAATTGTATATCAGTGACTTTGTTTTTGACACTAAAGATGTAAGCAGTGTACACCCTTGCAACACGATGTTGAAGCTTTCATTATCAAGGCCTTGATTTAGGAGGGAGAGAGTAACCAAATTGCAATTTGTACAAAAAAAATTATTTCCTTTTTCATGGAGGGAGGAAGAACACATTTTAAAGATTTGATGCACACCTTTTTAAACCTTCTGAATTGATGCACACCTTTTTAAACCTTCTGAATTGATGCACACCTTTTTAAACCTTCTGAATCTCCACTATTTGCGAGAGAGAGCAAGCAGATCGGGCCTTACAATAGTTTTTTTTTCCACAAAAAAGATGGAAAAATTAAAGTATTTGCTAGAACAGATTTTATACCTTTTTTGAAAGCAGGCAAATTTAACTTTAAATATTTAAAATAGACTGTATCTTTGCAGAGATATAATATAAATATTATAAATATATTACATGGGTGCACTGTAAACTGTGGTATTTGGGAGCACTGTAAACTGTAGTGCTTTGATTGATTAAACAACACCTCAATGATCTGCATTGCTCTGCTGCAAATGGGCATCTGTTGTGGTGACGCCAACAGATTCATGCTGCTCTTGCTTCTACTAACCCCATAAAAAGATTTCAAAAATAAATAAAGCAATCTAACAAAGTAAAACTCAAATAAAATAAAGTCAAAACACAAAAGAACACTACAAAATTAACACAAAATACCCGCCCAAAAAAATAGTCCCAAAAAATCATGGCAAAGTATCAGTAGTAGATATACAGCACTGGATATAGAACTGTATATAGAAATCAGTAGCAGTACACTGCACTACATTAAACCATTCGCTCTCCCAGCAAGACTATTAACTGTTCCTTACTCTTGCTAAACTCCCAACACACTGACAAAAGGCTGCTGGGAAAGCAGCCTTTTATAGTGTGTGGGCTTCAACATACAGTAGGTCAAAACCTTCATTGGCAAAGCCTTGCACCGATGCAGGGGTCAGGTGCAAGACATTGGCCAATCAGGGCTTTGGCAATGCATTATGGCACATTCTGCAGGGTAAACCCGGAAATCCCAACAGTTTTTAATTTGGCCAAGCATCCAACCAGTGAATGTTCAGTCTGAAATTACAAAATAAAGACAATAAAGTCTCCAAATTATGCCTTAGAAGCTTGTGTGCTGGAAATAGTGTCTCACGCTGCTTGTGCACCTATGCCTACTGCTCTAATTACATTGCCACCCCAAGGCTCCTACCACCTGCCAGGTCCAAACACCAAATAATATCTTTTTGAGAATGAGTTGCTCACACTGCTTGTGCACCTATGCCCACTGCTCTGGTTACCTTGCCCCTCAAGACTCCTGACACCAGCCTGACCCAAACTGAGTAAAATTTTTATATTACTGGCACACATTTGGAAATAGTATCTCAGGCTATTGATTATGCTATACTTTTGCTATATTTCTAATGATGATGTCTAAGCATCCCAAAGATGACACTCCTACAAAGCTCCCAAAAAGTTCAGGTGAATCACAATGACT